TGTTTTACCAAACTTTTTTAAGTTCAACTAAAGAATCATTAACCAGTGTTCTAAAAGTCGTTAGGCGCCCGTTAGACGTTCGACCAGCGCCTAACGCCTAGAGCGCTAAGGCGGGGCCTAGGCGGCGTCTGGTCGGGGCCTAGAAATCAATCTTAAATACATTATTTTTTATTTATTTTAACTACCTACAAAATAAAAATATCTCAATTTATAATAAATCGACATATCTAAGTTCAAATAATAATATTAATATATTTTAAAGAAAACATGAGAACAAAATAATATAATTAGTATTTAAAAAAATTTAAAAAAAAAAACAAATTAAAAAATTACCGCCGAGCCCGTCTAGGAGCGCCTAAGTCAGCCTAGGCGCCGCCTAACCGCCTGGCCGCCGAGCCCGCCAAGTCCGCATGGGGCGCCTAGGCGCCGCTTAGCCGTCTGACCGATTTTTTCTGCCGATTTGTACAAATTGAAGACATCCGGGTACCGTCTAACGTGTACACGCCGCCTAGGCAGATTTTTAGAACAGTGAGCGTAAGTTCTCACCAACAACGTACATTTTAAAGTCGTGCAAAATATATAAAACTTAAAAACCAGGGCTCACTTTTAAAAAACGCGGTTATGAAAATTGAAAATCCGTAAGAGGTATCATGAGTTGCGTCATCAGGTTAATTATTATGAACTCGTGCTCATGATATCTGGATTTTGAATACAAAAACCGCTTTTAGTTTGATCTTCCTTATTTGTTTTTTTTTTTTTTTTTCATATATATATATACATTTTCTATTTTAAAAATTAAATAATGAGTTCAAACTTTAGAGTTGATCAGGGATTTGGATAGTGTCATTTGTCACATTGTAATGTACATAAATTATAAGAACGGAATAATATACTTTGAGTGTGGACCAATGTCTAATAGATTTTTATAGCACATACCTCTGAGCTTTTTTAGCAACGAAGCCCCAAACCCAAGCCATGATTCGTGAATGGTCTCTCGGCGACCTTATCAATTGTTTATGAATTTTAGTCGTAGAGGTATTTAGAGCGTCTCCAGTTGCGCTCGAGTTGTGTCCAAAAATCTCTCTAACCCTGCGCTGGAAGCCTAGCCACATTAGAGATAGGAATAGTGCTGCGCCAATTGTGGCGCAACACTGTAGCGCAGCACTATATATATATATATATTTTTTTTTTTTTTAATGTAATACTAATGATAAATATTTGTATAATGCGTTTTAATAAATGTATTTTTATGCTAAATAATTTTGTGTTTTTTTATTGTATTAATATTTTATTTTTAATTTTGTAATATTGAAATGGTACCATATAAATAAAAATTTAACACATTCAAACAAGTAGATTTCATTAAAATTAAAAGTCTACAAAAATGTAAATCATAAAATACACACATAAAAACAACATAACCTTAAAATTAGAAGTTTTCAACACACATAACTCCCAAAATACACAAATAAAAATAACATAATCAAAGATAAACTTTTTATTAAAATTAACTATACTTATATAAAGATTTTGAGTGAGAAACATTTTTTATAAACTTAAATATACATATATATACCAGTTCATTAGAAAAAAAAAAATACATTTTATCTTTTGGGTAATAAATAATTATAGAAGATTAAATACATATATATATATATATATATATATATATATATATATATACCAATTTATTTGAAATAAAAAATAAATAAAAAAATAATATATTTGATGTAGAGTAAAATGCAGAGGTAAGGGCTGAAAATAATGTTTAACTCTAGCTTGATAGATGCGTGAAAATATCACTACGAGACTTAAGATCGAAAAGACACATTTCGAGACGTGTCTGGCGCAAAAAAATGCGGTAAAAAAACTGAGTCGACTACCTTTCGGCACCAATAGTGCGTCCAGGTCACAATAGGCTTCTTGCTCGTACAATCAGGACCTATATGGACAAACTTATCCGATTTATATTTAAATTTTAGTTACTTAAACTTAATTTTGTGTTGCAAAAACTCAAGTTTCTCACGTTTTCAACTTTAGAATTATCCATTCATTTTTGAAACTTTTTTATATGTCTTTAAATCACGAAAAATGAACACGAAAATCAGTACAGAACTTTTGTTTTCTTCTTCTTATGATTATGACGCAAGTCATGTGGGATATATATATGTAATACATGCTGAGAGATGAAAAAATAAAAAGAACGAAATACTTGTTTTAGAAAAATGCTAAGGTCTGTTACGGGATGATACCGTCATCGTTTTTCACCATTAAATACACATGTAAGTTATGTTGTGTGAATAATCAATGATACCAAACACTGACAGAACCATTCCGTCAACGGGACCTCAGCATTCCTCTTGTTTTAAACAATAAAACTATGAGACATAAATTGACCGCTCACTGAAACACGGCAAAAAAA